TTCTGCCTTTGTTGTTTTCATAAATAACTCAAAGTGGCAAACATACTTAATACTCCTTCCTCCTCCGATTCCCCCCACCTCCAGCCTGCAAAGATGAAGTGAGGAAAGCTAAGGCTCAAAATGAACTAAGGCTTGCGACCAAAGTCAAAAATAACAAAAAAGCTTCTTTCAACATGTAAAAAATAAGAAAAAAGTGAAGGAAATTATTGGTCCATTAGTGGGGGAAAGTGGCAAGAAAGTGACAAGCAACAGGGAGAAAGCAGAACTATTTAATTCATTTTTTGCATCTGTCTTTACACAAAGGGAAAAAACAGACCAACCTACCAAAAATAGTGCCATAAAAAAACAGAATAGAAACAGAAGTTATGATAGGCAAGAAAACTGTAAGTGAGCACCTGTCCAGCCTAGACGAGTTCAAATCACTAGGACCAGATGGATTACACCCCAGGGTTCTCAAGGAACTGGCAGATGTGATCTCAGAACCATTGAACTGTATTTTTCAAAGATCCTAGAGCACTGGGGAACTACCGGAGGACTGGAAAAGAGCTGATGTAGTTCCCATCTTCAAAAAAGGAAAAAAATGGTCCAGGAAACTACAGACCTATCAGCCTGACCTCAATACCTGGGAAGATTCTGGAAAAGATAACCAAATAACGAATCAGCGAACATCTAGAGTCAAACAAAGTCATTACTAAAAGCCAACATGGGTTTGTCAAAAACAGATCATGCCAGACAAATCTTATTGCATTTTTTGACCAAGTGACAAAATTAGTGGATCAGAGGAATGCTGTGGATATAATTTACTTGGACTTCAGTAAGCCATTTGATAAAGTAGATCACAACCTATTACTTGATAAGATAGAAAAATGTGGGTTAGACAACATCACCATCAGATGGATCCATAGCTGGCTGATCGGCCGTACTCAGCGTGTGGTCCTCAATGGAACCGCATCTACATGGAGGGAAGTGTGTAGTGGGGTGCCCCAGGGCTCTATTCTGGACCCAGTACTCTTCAACATCTTCATCAACGATTTGGACGAGGGGATAGATGGGGAAATCGTCAAATTTGCAGATGACACCAAGCTGGCAGAAATAGCCAACACTCCAGAAGACAGGCTTAGGATACAGGAGGATCTGGACAGACTTGAACACTGGGCACTATCAAACAAAATGAAATTCAATGGTGAAAAACGTAAGGTTCTACATTTAGGCAAGAAAAACCAAATGTACAGGTATAGTATAGTATTAATTGTGAGAGGGACCTCGGAGTCCTAGTGGACAATCACTTAAATATGAGCCAGCAGCGTGCTGCAGCTGCCAAAAAAGCCAACACAGTGCTGGGCTGCATTAACAGAGGGATAGAATTAAGATCACGTGAAGTATTAATACCACTTCACAATGCCTTGGTAAGGCCACACTTGGAATACTGCATCCAGTTTTGATCACCATGATATAAAAAAGATGTTGAGACTCTAGAAAGAGTACAGAGAAGAACAACAAAGATGATTAGGGGACTGGAGGCTAAAACATATGAGGAACGGTTGCTAGAATTGGGTATGTCTAGTTTAATGAAGAGAAGGACGAGGGGGGACATGATAGCAGTGTTCCAATATCTCAGGGGCTGCCACAAAGAAGAGGGAGTCAAGCTATTTTCCAAGGCACCTGAAGGCAGGACAAGAAGCAATGGATGGAAATTAATCCAGGAGAGAAGCAACCTAGAACTAAGGAGAAACTTCCTGACAGTTAGAACAATTAACCAGTGGAACAACCTGCCTCCAGAAGCGGTGAATGCTCCAACACTGGAAGTTTTCAAGAAGAGACTGGACAGCCATTTGTCTGAAATGGTATAGGGTTTCCTGCCTGAGCAGGGGGTTGGACTAGATGACCTCCAAGGTACCTTCCAACCTTATTATTATTATTATTATTATTATTATTATTATTATTATTATTATTATTACTATTACAACCCTGTGAGGTGAGTTGGGTTGAGGGAGAAGAGTCTCCCACCCATTTTTCATGCCTAAAGCAGGACTAGAACTCACAGTTCTGGGTATTCAGCCTGGTGCTCTACTGGTAGTCACTAGACCAGACTGGGTCTTCTTTTTTTTGTGCAAAATGCACTGTACTAACATTCTTAGCCTTCCAGCAATCTATGTATGTATATTTTTTTCCATAAGTAGTCTTCCAAAGAAAACACTATGCTGAAGCCACCTATCATTTTAGTTTTCTAAATACCCCTCTAGTTTTCATCAAAACTCAGAGGCCTTACTGGAAATACACATTACATCTGAGGTTAAGCCTTTGCTTTGCAGCTTGATCATTATGAAAAAATTATGAGAAACATTTGAGGAACAGTTGGATGAGCTGGATATGTTTAGCCTGGAGAAGACAAGACTGTAGGGAGACATGATAGCTGTGCTGACATAACAGAAAGCTGTATTGTGAAAGATGGTGCAAAAATATTTATTTGTTGTTCCAGAAAACAGAACAAGAGACAATGGGTTTAAATAACAAGAAGTATTTTTTGCTTGGACATCAGGAAAAAAATCCAATTGTAAAAGCTGTTCACTAATGAAACAGCTATCTCAAGAGGAGGTGGGTTTAACTTGCCTGGAAGTATTCAACAGAGGCTGAATGGCCATTTATTGGAGATTGTCAGGCACTAAAGATCAGGACCATAGCTTAAGCTGCAATTCAGAAATATTTATTGTTCAAATCTGTACACAATAATCTAGTCAATACCAAATTGGTGCTAGATGAGGTTAATGGAATTCAAGGGCAGCTGGACTAGGATCTTTTGCAGCAATCCAAGGACTTCAAACTGATGATATGTTTAACTCTGCCCTCCAGCTCTGCATGTTCTTCTGGTAGATTTCTATTCTTGCACTGGGCAAAGACGTCGGACTGGAAGATCTCCAAGGCCCTTTCCAAAACTGCCATTCAAATAATGTTCTAAACCAGCGGTTCTCAACCTATGGGTCGCGACCCCATTTGGGGTCGATCGACCATTTTTTGGGGGTCGCCAAAGGCGGCGATCTGCCATTTCCTCCCCTCTGGGGCGCCGCCGCGCATGCGCACTGCGCATGGGGGCGCACTGCGCATGCGCACCGCACATGGGTGCGCCGCTCATGCGCACCGCGCATGGGGGCATGCCGTGCATGCGCGCCGTGCATGGGTGCGCTGCGCATGCGCGCCGTGCATGGGGGTGCACCTCGCATGTGTGGCGCGCCACGCATGCGCATAATGTTTGTGTGACGGGGGTCGCCGTCACACAAACGTTGAGAACCGCTGTTCTAAACAATTACAATTTATTTCATAATTAAAAGAATCTTAATATAATATAAAGCCAGTTTTGTGTATTGGTGAAAGCACCGGGCTAGAAACCCAACTGCAGCTTCACCTTGGATATAAACACAGCTAGATGACCTTGGGACAGTCACTCTCTCAGACGCTTAGGAAGGAGATGGTAGCAAACCACTTCCCAAAAAGACCTTGCCAAGAAACTGCAGGGACTAGTCCAGGCGGTCACCAAGTCAAGGAGTGAAGACTGACTTGAAGGCATCAAGCAGGCAACAAGGAGAGCAAGAAGCCCATCACATGCTAAGGGAGATGACACCTGACATTTGGTTCATCTGGGCATAATACTGAAAGATCCAGGCCTTAGACAATAATATAATTTAGAGACCCAAGACATGAAGTAGGACAAATACAACCATTTGTACATTTAGGAGGAACAGCCAGGAAGTTACCACCACCACCACCACTTTCCATCTTCCACCATCCATTTAACTTTATAGCCAACCCTGAAACAAAGCACCAATGACCTTCTTCAGTTCAATTTGTGGGATATACTAACTATATATTTTAAAATACAGAGTATGAACAACATAGGTCAGGAGGAGACAGTGTTTGCAGACATATTTATAATGTAGTTGTTAAGAGAACAAGATTGTTCAAAGTATGTTTTTTTACAAAAAGGCCATAATAATAAAATCCATAGGAATTATTAAAAAAATACAATGATAGCATATTATGAATACTAGTTGTAGCGATCAAAGAGAATAATGTCTGGGGGAGTTTTTTTCCTACCTGAAGATTTATCTCTTCTGTGGCTGGAGTTGGGGTGAAATAATTGAGTTGATTAGTTGACATAAAATAACCAAGAAAAGTTAAAATTTAATGTATTAATTATTTTGTAGATCAGCATTTACATCTTTCCCAATTGGGTATCTCCAAATGAAACAGGCTATAGATCCCAATATCATCAATCTAGTACAGGGGTTCTCAACCTTGGCAACTTTAAGACTTGTGGACTTCAACTCCCAGAATTCCTCAGCCAGCAAAGCAAAGCTGGCTGAGGAATTCTGGGAGTTGGTCCACAAGTCTTAAAGTTGCCAAGGTTGAGAACCCCTGATCTAGTACAATATTACCTTTGGGCTGATTTAGTCAACTATAATATCATATTTAATGAAGACATCCCCAAATTCTGTTTTGTTTTGTTTTGTCTTGTTTATTTATTAGATTTTCACCCTGTCTTCATTTACTTCAATGGACTGAATTACACTGAGAACTCAATTAATTAATTCCTTCCAGTGTTGGTACTTTGGACTGAGTGCATGTAGAATTCCTTTATGCTTCCTGCACTTTCTTTTCCTCTTTGTAGTCATGGGATCACTCAATTCATTTTTGGCTTTCTATCTTGCTGGTCTGTAAAAAGTGGCTAACAGAATGAGAATAACATTTCCAACTAGATAGCAACCATTTTTAGGGAAGGAATATAATAAACTAAATCGTTTAACATTTTGGTGGAAATCAGTTCTGATTAATTTCCTGTTCTGGGCTTTAACTGATGGCTTGGTTCCCTAACATGATTGGGAACGGGATGGGAAAGAAGGAATTCTGATCATCTGCTAGGATATAAATCAGTACATCTAGGAAATGTATATGGAAATAAATGCTCTTTTGATTCCCATTTCTTCTTCCTTTCTTGTTTTCTGCAGAGCCAGCTGTCCCAGGCCCTGAATGGACTTTCAGACAGAGCCAAAGAAGCCAAAGACTTTTTGGTACAGCTACGCAACATGGTTCAACAAATCCAGGTATTGTGTTGACTCTAATAGTCATGAACAGAAGTAGAATGTGAGCAGTGTCACTGTGTGGCATTCAATTCCCTGAGCTTAAAATACACACAAACAGCATAGCAAACCACAGCTGACAACAGATTGCCAGTCCTCCTCCTTTTTAGCAGTAACCCAATCAAATTTGTGATGACCAATTCTTTAACAAAACACCAAAGAATGGATGACTCATTGCATTTAGAGTGAAAAGGGGCTGATCTCACCCACCTCTCTGTCTCCTTGATGAGTAAATTGCACAAATAAGAACAGTTTTATTTCCCATGCAACCATGGTGCAGAGTCTAAACAGATGGAGAAGTGGAAAGTCTCTTGCAGTAGTAACTTTGTTCTAAATCCAGAATATAGAGGCTAAAGCTGATTCTTGGTTAAATCTCTATTTTGGGTGATACACTAGACTGTGCATAAAATAAGCTAATAACAGCCAGGCTGTAATTACAGTTTGTGATTAAGGCATTCTGTTGTAATCATCTTGACCCCGGTCTAAATTTGGATTATAGGATAAGGCAAAATACAATATGGCATAATATGGGATGCAAACATGAGCAGTTTTGACTAACTATCAGCCAGTAATAAAGATCAAGCTCTTTTGTATTAAATTGTGCATTCCATAATATTAGTAATAATGAAGATAAGGATGATGGGGATGTTACTATTTACAAATCATCATTTTATTGATTGTGTGTGTGTTTGTATCTGGATGTGTTTTCCCCTAAGAACAGCCAACCTCAATAACTTTAGGATGTGTGAACTTCAACTCCCAAAATACCCAACCAGCATTGCAGGCTGACGTATTCTCAGAGTTAGCAATAGCAATAACACTTAGACCAGTGGTTCTCAACCTTTCTAATACCACGACCCCATAATACAGTTCCCCATGTTGTGGTGACCCCCAACCACTTATACATCACCAGGTACCAGGGGCGTGGCCAAAGAAAAGGGGAAAAAAATGGCGGACAGCCTTGTTTGGTGACCCCCGTGAAATGGTCGTTCGACCCCAAATGGGGTCCCGACCCACAGGTTGAGAACCACTGACTTAGACTTATATACCTCTTCACAGTGCTTTAAAGTCCTCTCTAAACGGTTTAGTGGGTCCTCATTTTACCAATCTTGGAAGGATGGAAGGCTAAGTCAACCTTGAGCTGGTCAGAATTGAACTCCTGGCAGTTGGCAGAATTAGCCTGCAATACTGCATTCTAACCACTGTGCCACTAGGGCTCAATGTTGAAGTTCACACAGCTTAAGGCAGCTAGACATTTCAAGGAACATATTTGTCAGACTCTGAAGTTAATTTTCGCTCCTTGGAATAATACTCTACTGCAGTGTTACTCAACTTCTGCAGTTTTAAGGTATGTGGACTTCAATTCCCAGAATTCCCCAGCCAGCATGCCCAGGTTGAGAAAGATTGCTCTGTTGGAATAGCTGACTACCATCTATAAAATAGAGTCATATTTAATACACTGAAGTCACCTATATAAGCTCAGTATACTTTATTCTCACCCTCCAAAAGTACTTCCATGTCTCTACAATCTGATAATCGTACTGTACCTGCATTTGGCAGCTGATTTTTTTTTCTTCTAGCTGACCTGCACTGTATCAGAAATCACACTAAAAGTGATAATTTCCATTTGCTACACACAGAGGATGAATGGACCATTTCCTTTTGGGTCCTGCACTGTTGCAACATTATATCCCTCCCTGTGCCCTACTCCTTTAGCATCCCTTCTTAGTGCTTATTGGAAAATTATTCTAAACATAGTCTCTCTCCCACCTTCCACCCACTCTGGCTGTCATAGCAGCAAATTACCAGGATTAAGGTATTGGAAAACCTGTCTAGCCACAAGAAAATGCCAATGTGCTGTCATTTTACCGTGATAATTTGCAAGAGGTAGCAGAAGAATGTTATCTTTGATGCTGGAAAGTTTCTTCTTATAACAATTGATTAGGTTTATTTATTCATGTATTGCAAATCACTTTCCAAATGCTCATAACAGCCTTGTTTCTACAACATGCTTAATCAAATCACCTACAAACTCAACCAAATGTTCTTAGTAGTAATTCTGTTAGTAGTAATTCTTCCTAACAGGATCAAATACCATCACCTGGGAAGTACAAAATTCTAGGAAATGAATTCATTTAAGTGTGTTGTGGGAAAGGGGTTAATGTAACTCACGGGTCTTCAAACTTGGCCCTTTTATGACTTGTGGACTTCAACTCCCAGAATTCCTCAGCCAGCCACAAGAAATAAAAGGGCCAAGTTTGAAGACCCCTGGTGTAACTGAAAATGGGATATTGGGAACTGACTCTTTGGAGAACTTTTTCACACTGTATTGTACTGTTGATCAGTTAGTGGTGAACACCAATTGGTTCTTAGTGTTCTCTGTATTAATCTCAACATTTCAAGCTCAGCCTAAGTGATAGTTGCAACAGTTCAGCTTCAATCCACTTTGTGGGAAATTGGGGAGGGGGGAATGGTGTCATGTGGAAGTCCCTTAAACTCCGGCTGGTCTACAGCTAGCCCTTGATTTACTATATGACTACAATTGTGACCAGAATTTCTGTTGCTAACCAAGGCAAGAGAGTCACACCCAATTTTACTATCTTTTTTGCCACAGTTATTAAGTGAATCACTGTAGTTATTAAATGGATCATGCAGTCATTAAGCAAATCCACCTTCTCCCATTGACTTTGCTTGTCAGAAGGAAACTGCAACCATTGTAAATTCATCTTGGTATTACAGGACGATAGGGCTGCTGCAACAGTGCTAGGTGTGAGGATCAGTTGTAAGTCACTTTTCTCAGTGCATTGTAATTTCAAATGGCCACTGAATGAATGGCTGTAACTTGAAAACTACTTGTATGTTTTCCCAAGGGCATGTCTACGGAGATTCTCAGTCATCCAGGTCATGGTTGCCCCAAAGGTACTTTTCCAAAAGACAACTGGACTGTCTTGGTTTTTCCCTTTAAAACTTTTCACTTCTCATCCAGGAAGCTTCAGAGTCAGAACTGAAGAGGCTTCTTGGATGAGAAGTGAAATGTTTTCAAGGAAAAAAACAAACAAACAAGGAAGTTCAGTTGCTTTTGGAAAAGCACCTTTGGGATTCCCAGGCATATCCATAGAATGATGTCCAAATGGTAAGTACAAGTGGATAATTGATGTCTCACCCCTTTTTAGATCTATGAGATGTATCTAACACATATTAAAAGGGGAGGGGGTTCAATTGCCTGGTAGTGCCCATAATTTTGAGATTATTGGTACATCCCCCTCCCCGTGACACCTTCTACCCCAGTGATGGCGAACCTTTTAGAGATCAAGTGCCCAAACTGCAACCCAAAACCCACTTATTTATCGCCGGGTGCCAGGTGGGCGTGGCCCACTGGGTGGGCGTGGCTGTGGTCATGGCAGACTGGTTGGGTGTGGCCAAGGTGGGCGTGGTCACCTCAGTGTTGCTCGTGGGGAGGGATGCCTGTGGGGGCTGGGCAGGGTTGGGGGAGATCCAGGGGGTCTCTGGCAAGTGGGGCAGTGGGCAAGAGGCTCGTCCTGCGGGGTGAGGTGAGGCAAGGCGAGATAGGGTGGGGATTCCATTGTCACAGGGCAAGGCGAGGCAGTGGCTGGGGCAGCTGCTGCCTGACACCATCGGCCCCCACACATAGAGGCCAGCGAGCGCATGAGGGCCCCTCGACCAGCGCACTCTGGGGCTCCACAGTCCGCTGCCAGCATTTCAAAGAAGCCGCCTCTGAGCTGGATGGCGGATGACAGCTGAGAAGGCGATGCAGTGTGTCATGCCTGGGAAAAGGAGAGCATGCGAGGCCAGGAGGGATGGGAGGGGGGAAGGGAAACCAGCCAAACTGGGATGCATCCGAGCACGTGGGACCTCGGCGAGTTAGCAGGCAGCTGGTTGAAGAGGGACAGTTGTCATCTCCGGGGCATGGTGCGTGTGCCCACAGAGAGGGCTCTGAGTGCCACCTCTGGCATGGGTGCCATAGGTTCGCCACCACTATTCTACCCTCTCCTTCCCATTCCCTACTTCTTCAGGGAATTCTACTTTTGGACCTAAAGCCAGGATAATTACTTGCAATCTTCTCCAACCTGATATTTTCCAAAGTATTGGACTGTCACTGCCATTACCTGATGCTGGTTGGGAATAACAGGGCTAGCAGTTGGCAACATTGGAGAGTGCCAGAGTGGGGGGAAATTGCTCTGTTAGAACAAAAGGCTCAGGGAGAGAGGAATGCTGGGAAGGAGGAGCAAAGGGAGACTCTTTGAAAGATCCAGCACAGTATAATTTCCTCATTGCCTCTCTGCCACCCCAACCCAATAACCCCAAAGAAATAAGCTTGTTGCAATAATGCTTTGCATTCTTTCAGGTGGAATCAGACCTTTAGTCAGAATCAATTTAAATTTCGGTGGCACAGGTAATTTGTCTTGGCTCTTTTGGGATACTGCCTCGTCCTCCCACCATCATTTTGAGTGAGCAGGAGTCTAATCCATCAAGTCACTTCAACTCTGTGGCCAAATCATTCCCTCTTTCCTTGTGGCTGCCTCCCCCATGAGCACACTGCTTTTTTATTCAGTTCAGTGGAGGCACATTCCTCCATGAGCTGCTTCTCCTGTCCTTCACTTTGTTCATGCATCATGGGACTCATCCATTCTGAGACTTGTGATTTTCCCTTAAGAGAGTGATCATTGCTAGATAGAGACATAAAAGCTTCAGTCAGGGCTTTCAATTTCCAGGAATGTCTCAGGTTTTAGGAGAATTTCTGTGTGAGCCAAATTAGAATAATAGGGCTACTCCTGGCTTGGAAGAACCAAATTCTGCCCAAATCAGAACTTTATCCTATGAACTTTCAGTCTGAGAATATGAATATGCATTTGGACTCGGGAGACCAACATTCTGAACTTTCCTTCTGCAAATGTTCTCAGAGACTCTTTGGGCAACTTGGAACCTCACATCTGATTCTACAAGGTTCTTTGGGAAATATTATTTTTAAAATAAATATTATAAAGTGAAAAAAAAACCCACTCTCTGTTTGGAATAGCAGCTTTTAAAACACTGTAAGATGGAAATGATAAACATGTACAGGTAGCCCTTGACCTATAGCAGTTTGTTTCGTGACCATTCAAAGTTAGAACTGCACTGAAAAAAGGGACTTATGATCATTTTTCACACTTATGACCGTTGCAGCATCCCCGTACTCACGTGATCAAAATTCAGACTCTTGGCAATTGACTCATTTTTATGATGGTTGCACTGTCCTGGGGTCATGTGATCACCTTTTGCGATCTTCTGACTAGCAAAATCGATGGGGAAGCCAGAGTCATTTAACAACCGTGTCACTAATGTAACAACTGCAGTGATTCACTTAACAACTGTTAAAAGGTTGTAAAATGGGGCAAAATTCACTTAACAAATGTCTCACTTAGGAACAGAAATTTTGGACTCAATTGTGGTCACAAGTTGAGGACTACCTGTATATGTGATTCAATATCTGTTTCTCAGTCTTCCCTATCTTGCCTCATGCTTCAAACAAGCTTTAAATATCTCTAAAATCTTATGTGAATCTTTATTTATATTATTTTACTCGAAAATGATTTTTATCTGGAAGTTACTTTCCCAAGTAAAAAAATATGGAGGTGTTCTGTTGACTGTACATACGTTGACCAACTAGTGTCTGCAAAGATAATGGAAACTGTCTTTGTGATTAGGATGTGTCTTTGGCAGCCACTGGTTGGTTCCATTTGCATGATATATTTAAATATATCATTTAAAAGCTGGTGTGTGAATTGAAAAACACAGTTATTTCTGAGCCAAGGAGTGGGTTTCATCCTCTCCCAAATCACCAGGGTAAATTATAAGGTTATCTATAATCCAGCCAAGGCCCGTTGTTTAATTCCATTATTGAGGAATCAATAGTTCCATAACTCCATTATCCAACGTCTTCCATGTATTTTTGAAGATAGGCAAGCAGAGAGAAAGAGATAAGAGCATAATTTGCTGTAAGCATTTCTTTTTCCTTCCACCAACTCCCTTCACCACTAGCCCCCAAAACATCTATAGGAATGAAGCAAAGACAGAAAAGAGATGAGACTGAGTCCAAATATCATCAGCCCATGCTGATTGCATATACGTGTGTATACAACACACGCATGCATGTACAAAGGAAATGATAATGGTTCCATCAAAACAAAGACGACTGTATTATGATCAGAGCAGCCATCTCACTCCAGCACTGTCTAGCACCAATTAATTACCTGTAGATAGAGCTAGGCTGAGCTTGCTGTGTAGTGCAAGAAAAGCCCCTGTATTTACACAATACACTGAATCATCATTAATTCAACCTATTGTCTGGTTTCATGCAACACATTGAACCAGAAACCATCTAACTTAGCCATAGTATATGAACCCAGCCAGAATGGCTCCTAGAAGCAGTCTAAAAAGAACAAAGAGCCCAGAGTATTTTTTTTTTAAAAAAAAACAAAACAAAAAACCGATGCTGCTGAAAATCTCAACAAGTTGTTGCAGGAAAGTGTGACCTCAGTCTCTTGTGATGGCAAATCCAACATGTCAGCTGCTTTTAGTCCTTCCCGTTGCTTTGACTGATGAGTATTTTATTTTGACTGCAGGAGAACAGCGTGGAGTTTGAAGCGTGCCTGGTTGCCCAGTGTGATGCGCTTATTGATGCTCTCAACAGAAGGAAAGCCCAGCTGTTGTCACGGGTCAACAAAGAACATGAGCACAAACTGAAGGTTAGTCTGGGGTAGTGAAATTTAAGTGATGAACTGTTCTTGGTGGACAATGCCTGTGTCCATGTAAGGTGCCAGGTATGTTAAGCCAGGCACCTTGAGACACTGTTGCAGTGTAAGGGTGAATAAATCTCAGCTAGTCCTACTGAAAATGGCCAAGATATGCTGCTAAAGCTACTGGCTCAGTAGGAAACTTGACCCAAAAAAAGGCCTTTGTTCTAACCTCTTTTCAAATAGGAATGATTGCTTCATTTCCTGTTCCTTGCATAAATATTTCCTTCCCTGCAGACATTTTATCCTCATGAAGAAAAATCTATCTACTGATTGCTAAGAGTCTACACTGACTTGAAGGCACATAATCAATCAGTCCATCAATCATTCAGACAGCATTTTGGGACTCATACATCATGCTAAGCCATGCTATATTTATTGGTAAAACTCAATTAGATGGTTTGCACAATACACTAAATCAAAACCAAATAAATATATATGATGTCTTAGAGTAGCCACAAAATTCAGAGAACACATTAAAGTACAAACTAGTCAATCACAGCTTATGTGATGAATTTATGGTTATCTTCCACAGCCAGAAAATTGTGTTATTGAGCAAATATTGGTTCAATAATTATTAGTAAACATTGTATGCATCTACTATAGATGAGTGTTAGGTGTGCCAATAGGAATCTTTGGCATTAGGCTAAGAATATTGCAAAGTAGTTATATATGAGAGGAGATACAGAATGTATGGGTGAATTGCAAATACAAATTTGCTTTTAGGGAAACTCAAACCAACCTCCCCACTAATCTCTAGGGCTGCATATGTTTCAAAATGATTGGAACAACTTCAAATCCATTTTAAAAAAGCCTGCCTTTTCTCACACTTCTGCATCAGGAATCTATTTAATGTTGCTACATTTTTAAAAAAAGAAATGCACCTTTTTTCAAGTTTTGTTTAATGAATAGCAGAAAGATGCTACGTTCATCTTGTGCGGTCCAAAAGCTTCTTCCAAATCCTCTCTGAAGCGTGCAAAGCTATATTGATTTTCCCTTACTCCTTGGTTTAATGCTTTAGTTAGAGTGCCTCGATCCAGCTTCATCCTGCCTCCCAAGTACCTCTGAATCCACCAGGAAAGAAGCGAGGATCCTTATAGCTATGCAGCACTCAGACTAATGTGGGAGCTGAAATGAATTAGTAGGGGGCGCATGAGTCCGTGAGAGGGAGGGCCTGAATATTTGCCATGGCAGCTGTTGCCATAGAGACTTCCTAGGATGGAGGGATGGAGGGAGGGATGACACTGTAGCTGCTAAGGACCAGCAACAGATAAACCCAGAGGAGTAAACCTGAAAGGGGAAGACAACCAGTTGGCCACAATGTATATTTGCTGTGAAAACATTATGACTCTCTTTGAGAGTGGCTGCCTAAGAGAACTGATAGAAAGAGAATTGCTTGTGGAGAAACAAGGATTTGTAAGATGTTTAATGGCAGATTGGAAGACAAGTAGGCAACCTTAGAATGCATTGAGTCAGCGGTATTATAGTCCCCCCCCCCAGCATTTAAAAAAGCACTGAGGCCTTTTTCAGCCAGTTGACCCAGATGGCTTTTGTTCAACAGGAAAAAAAAATCAACCAAGAGATTTCTGGGTGTCCTTTCTTTGCATGCAGAGACATTTCAGTTACAGTATTTAGGATTCCTTAAATGTACGTCCCTTGTTCCATCACTGGTTTTTATAGAGCAGTGTCAGAATTACAGAATAACATAGTTGGAAGGATCTTGGAGGTCTTCTAGTCCAACCCCCTGCTCAAGCAGGACACCCTATAATATCATTTCAGACAAATGACTGTCCAGTTTCTTCTTAAAAGCCTCCAGTGATGGAGCACCCACAACTTCTTAAGACAAACTGTTCCACTGGCCCATGTTGCCCATGTTTATGTTCAAAAGGAAGAACATGAGTCACCTATATTCTTCCTTTTAAGCAGTATATAGGGGAAGAGTTAAGGTTAGATTTCTCTGGATTCATGGAGAGTTCCCACAACATGCAGGACTATTAGTTTTGGTTTAGTGTGGGAATCCAGCCAGTGTTTTTGTAATCTTAACTTATGTTTAACATGTTGTACAAACTGAACCAATTGTGGTTTATTCAATAATCAGTGATAACAATATTCTGTGAGACAGCTTCTGCCTTCTCACAACATTTTTGCTGCCTTTAATGGCTCTTCTGCTATGACATCTGAACCACTTATTAGCCGACCACAATATTAGTTCAGTGTGTTTGGTAAACACAGTCTATGTGGTTAATTTGTGGTTCAGTCTTTTGTGTGAATTTAGAAAATTAAAATAAACATAAGTTTAATTAATTATTGGAAAGTGTCTTGTATGAACATTGCCAGTGCATAAATTATGATATTCTTTGGTTTAGTAGGTCTTACTCAAATCAGGGAAACAGATGGGGTGGAATATTTCCCTGAGTCTACTATAACAGGAGAGTGGGAGAAAGAAACAGTTAATTCTGCAAAGCTGATAATGAGCTTTGTGGTTTCTTAAATGCCTTGGACATAAATGTTGAAGGAAAAACCATTAATTAACTCAACAATCACACACTGTCAAGAAATATCAAGTCCCTCCCTTTGGTTCTTTATCCCATTTGTTTGTTGTTTATTAGCTATAAAATTATTGAGGATTCAGATATTTTACTGTTGGAAAGAATTCAGTTGTGTAAATAAAACATTCAACCCTATGGATCAATCTCCCTCCATATAACATCTTGCAGAAACATTCATCAGCATGGATGAAGGTGCTGCAGCCCAACTCATCTGAAGGGGTCCCAGTTAGAGAAGACAAGATTGACATACATATTTTAGCCTTTTGAGAACCCATCTTGATCATTTCCAACTTGCAAAAATGAAGACTTATTTTGGCAATTAAATCTTTTCAAATGATTGTCAAAACTTAGGAGGTCAGTGATGTTCCCAGTAACATTACTAAAGGCAAGACAACTTCAATACCACCTCAACATGATCAAGGTTTTTCTTTCCAAACTTTTTTGGGAACCGTTATTGGTTCTGAGCCTCTAAACAACATTCTTTACATTTCTGCTTCTTTTGCATGCAGATAGATCTTACCATTTTTTTCTTTTTACCGCCCTTTAATCCCTTTATTTGGGGTGGAGTCAGGACGACTGAATGGAGATGAATGTTTACTGGCAGGATGCCCTTCCTGATGCCTATATGGAGTTCACACAGCAGATATTTTCTCTTTGTCCCCTGATAGAGAAATATCTGCTGCTGCCTCAGATTGAACTCTCAACCTTCCAAGTGGGAGGCAAACGTCTTCACCTCTAGGCCACCACATCATATCATTTATATATTGCCTTAATTTTCTTGGTCTGGCACCAATATTTGACTTGATGATCAGGTGTAGCTAGCCTTTCAGATAGAAAGAAAATGACTCTGGAGAGAAATTACAGAGGAGGACAGGACAAACTCCAATTATTTATCAACTCATTTTTCTTGCTCGCATACAGAGCTGTTTTTGGTCCTTCTGAAGGGAACTGGGTTTATGCCACAGTTTCCTCCTTCCACTTGTCAGGCAGAATCTTGTTCAGTGAAATTAGCTAGAAGGAAATTCAGTCATTAATCATCTCCCTTGCAGCTCCATGCCCAAGACAGACATTTTGAAGATCACCTTAGGTCCACTTGCTTGTTAAGTGCTGAGATGAATTGCCAGGGAGTGGAGAGAAATGAAATAAAGGGTAGGGGGGGAGGCATTTAAAACTTTTAGCAGTCTGAGTTTGGTAGCTATGCAGAAGGACATTTGTCTGTGTCATTGATGTCTGTATTCTCCCAAAATGGCAAATTATGTTTTTCTTATTGAATAAAGCACAATTGGATGAGTTTAAGGCTATCATACAATACATTTTACAAATCATGATGCCTGGCAAACCATCCAAAGGTCAACTTGCTATGCATAGCCTGGCCCAATACAGTGATAAAATGCCCCCCCCAAAAGACTGCACCATTATTAGGGGAGTTTACTAGGCAGTAGATGGGCAGTTGTGTTTCTTTTTCAGAAATTCAGCAGAGTGTCGCTCTGAGCCAAGGCTATGATTGCCTGGCGCCTTATTTTCTCCCAGAATGCTTCTGTGCTTTGATTTAGGAAAATCATTCCGGGAAAATGAAGATGGATGATGGCCACAGCTTTGGCATCTGCTTTGCTTCATAGTATACTGCTCGCATCAATAAACATTGTTAAAAAGGATGATGGGAGATTTTTTTTTAAAAAAACTAGGTTTTCCATCTTTGGCATTTCTCCAATGAATGCTAAGTGCCTGTTAATAATGGAAGAATTCCCTAATGCTGGCTCATCTGGCCCAGCTAGACTAATAACAAATGACTTTGAAAATTTGTTCAGCCATCATGCTAAGGCAGGGGTTGCTTAACCATGCTCTGTTGCCTGGGTGTCTTCACACAATACACTGAATTTGGGGTTTCTATCATCATCAGATACTACTTAAAAAAGCATACAGATATAGCTGTAATTTGTTAAATATTTCCCTGAGGCAATGTATAACAGATGGTGATTCCTCCGATGGTATTCTGAAAATGTGAACCCTGAGTAAACAAGGGAATAATGATGACATTATCTGAGGAGAACAAGGAAGCTCAGCTTAAAGAACATAAGGAGATAATAGATTATTTCTTATCCTAAAACATAGATATGATGTCACACTCCAGATCAGGGCTTTTCAACCAGTGGTACGGGTACCACCTGTGGTACATTGGCACCTGGCAGGTGGTACGCAACCATCTTAGAAAAGTGGTAGAGGGGGAGGGGAATGAGCTGAACGGGTGGCAGCACTGCACAAGTCTGAGCGAGAGATGGCTGGAGCTGCAGGGCTGTCAGAGCTCAGCAGAAGCGCCAGGATCAGTGCCGCTTTCCAGCTGATTGGTGCTTCTTCAGGGCTGTCAAGGCTCAGTGGAAGCGCCAGGATCAGCGCCGGGCTCCAGTTGGAGCTTGGTGCTGATCCTGGTGCTTCTGCTGAGCCCTGAAGAAGTACCAAACAGCTGGAATGTTGCAGCATCTCCAGGGTTTTGTGATTTACATTCAGATGTTTGGCAACTGATTCATATTTATGACAGTCACAGTGTCCCAGGGTCATGTGAAGTAACCAAAACCTGCTGCAACCACCCAGCAGATGGGGGGAATAAAAACCAAACACCCCCCACCCCACCTTTGCTGCCAATCCTCCACAGAAATGCTACAACAATGAAAACTTCAGACAGGAGGAAGAGCGCCACCGGGTGGGCAGGCAGGTGCTCTATGCTTTGGTTGTGGCTTGGGGGGCACTTTTTTCAGTGCCATTGTAACTTCGAACAGTCACTAAGCGAAATGTTGTAAGTCAAGGACTACCTGTACTTTATCACTTTTTTCTTTTTTTTTATTTTTGGTCATCAAGTTTTTGACACCTTGCTAGGCGACTGGTGGTACTTGGATATTGCCATATCCTAAAAGTGGTACAGTGGGTGAAAAGGTTGAAAAGCCCTGTTCCAGATCACCTTTTCTTTCAAGAACAACATTCTAAGAAGTGCGATGGTAAAAAAGGACATTTCTTCCATGTGTATTTCTAAGAGATCAGAGTAAAAGAAAAATGCAGTGAAAACCCTGTATTTTGTATTTTGCTTGGGCAACCAGTGTGGAAATCAGGATCAAATCCTGATCAGGACAGGACTTATCCAATGACATGCTTTTCGGATCAGATATGAAATAGAGTGGAGACTAAGTCAAAAAAAGTCACTGTATTTTCCATTTTTTTCAATTGAAATACTCAGTGAGAAGCTACCTGTTAGATTTATCACTGATTTTGTAGCTGGAAAATGATTATTTCTTTTTTTTTTACGCATTAAAATGGTTATATACTATTAGAATCGCCAATCAGGAGATTCGATTGGGCTAGCAGCCAAGTGGGTTATGCACATTGTGAGAATGGGGTCAACGAAAAGCTGTAGCTAATCCCGAAAGCCTTAAAAATGTGACTTCCACATGTTCCTGAGCTTCATAATTGAAGATGTCACATGAGTCCCTCTAGTGGTCAATTGTGGAATTAAATTACAATGCAGAATACTATCCCAAATTGTAGCATCGCCAGCCAGTCTTTCTACCTTCCTAAGCAAAGCCAGTATAAGACGTAGCTCCCTTCCCTTTTCTGATTTCAGAGCTAAGAGGAACAGTAATGTGAGCAAACTCCCACTAAGCCACACAGGAAAGGAAAAGGGATTGATGAGGTAGCTGGCTTCCTTTCTTAAGTTGGGTTTGACCAGGACCCTTCGAGAATAAGAGTTGGAAAGGACCTTGGAGGTCTTCTAGTCCAACCCCCCCTTCAACTAAGCCATTGGACCCATTTAATATTTGGAATAGTTCATATGGTTTCCTATTGCCATTATTTATTTAGCTGCTGAACAGCACAACTAGTGTTGGGGAAAGAACTTCTCCTGCATCTTCTCTATCCATTTTCTTTTAATCTGGTGAAAGAATATTTGCTTGGAAACTTCTTAAGAGAGAAGAGAAATTCCAGAGCAGTGTTTCTCAACAACAGCAATAATAATAATAATAATGAGGAGGAGGAGGAGGAAGGGACCTTGGAGGTCATCCAGTCCAACCTCAGACAGGAAACCCTATACTATACCAGGGGTGTCAAACTGCCTGCCAGTGGGCCGGACACGTCATCCAGAAGCCGTGCCCACCCCATTGCCAGCAATGGCAAAACCGTCCTGATACATTGCGCAACGTCACGTGACGTCACAAGTTTGACATGTCTGCCCTATACCATTTCAGACAGCTACTTGTGGATTACAACTCTCAGGAGCTCCAATGGCCCACAGCTTCTCTGACTTCCCACATTTCTATTCAGTACAAAAGGGGGAGGGGCAGTGGTAGGATTCAGCCAGTTAGCACCAGTTCAGCAGAACCAGTAGCTAATTTTTTGTTGCCCAGGTCCAGAATGGACTTCCGGAAGCGGCATCCAGACAGAGAACCAGTTGTTCACATATTTGAATCCCACCACTTGGGGGGGGGTATATTATGAGAGAATTCTTCCCATGGGTTTTTTTTCAAGTGACCCTCCAGGAGAAATTGTGCCTTTGAGAACATTTTCTTTTTCTTGGAAGAAATTTGTAGATACTGTCCACCAAATTTTTCTGCTCATATATTTGATGGAGAATTTAAATAAAGAGAGTGTCCAGCTTCTGCTGCACCCCTCAAGAATGTACCCCAGAAATCATCACAAAAGAATATACCGTGAAGCTGGCCTAAGGTAATATGATGGGGGTCATAACCAGATCAAAACAAGTATGGGACTATTTGAGGATTTTGACCTTGATGCTTTTTCTGAGTGTTGGCACATAATGCTCAAGTGGTTTATGCAATTGTAGCACCTAGAAAAATAACATTTTTCAGAGTGAGCAAAGAATAACACTGCTAGTCCCAAACAACCATGGACATCTTCAGAGCAAGAGAAGGTATGGTTGGAGAGAAATGCAAGCCTAATCTTGAATCATCCGCTGTTTCTTGCACTCTGGAATGTTTGGAGAAAACCACTCTCGGATTATAATACTGAAGGTGGAAGAACTTGAGCAGATTCAGGGTCAAATTTCAAAACCTCTCTTTTTCTTTCCAACCATGAATGCTGTATATTGCCAGAGCCTGAAAATGCTCATTTAAATCCTGCTCCAAGTTTCCATTGTACATAATGCACCAGAAGCTTTTGATGCCGTTGTTGATACATTTGCCTTTCAAGAGCAAAGATGCACAACAGATATTCAGCCTCTGAAGACAGAACTTTGGCAATAAAGAGACAGCTCAGAAAGTTTGGAAAACAAGATTCTGATAGTCTCAGGGGTGGCATAGCCTCTCTCCTTTGCTCCAATGCAAATGTCCTTGAATGTCCTTGCCTATGAGGAAATATAACTGATACCAGTTCTATTAGTGGTGCCCAGTGGAATAGAGGCAGGGCTGGAGCTGCTGACTAGGCCTCTGGAGGATCTCAACTTTGGAAATTTGTTTTGACAGTGCTAAAACTAGAAATTGTGGTTGAAGAAATGTCAGGGCCCTTTCCCGCTCCAAAGAATGATTTGCCAAGTTATGATTTATTTAACCATTTTTGATGAAATTATCATTGGCCAGATTCACCCCATATGTTAAACCAAAGCCATATAAACACTGTTATGGCTTAATAAGAATGCAGCCAATTTAGTTGTTCCTCTGTTTATGAGAGAAGCAATTGTTAAAACAGAATCACTGACAACAGGATGGTTAACCACCATACTCTGAATGCCAGCAGGCTCCTGTCAGATTCCATCAGGATTGCACACTGTTGCCTCCAAGCACAATAGCAAATACTATGGCTTGAGGAAGAGGTTGTGGTTTTGTGTAGGGCTAGAATTAAGCAGATAGCCTGGTGTTTGCCAGAATTAGAATTCCAAGCCCTTAAGGTTTCTTAGACTTTGAGGGACCCAGCAAAATCAGCTCAGGGGCAACGAGGAATAAGTGATCCATTGCATTTCTGGCCAGAACACTCTCCCCAAATTCTCCAGCCATAGCTCTTATCTGCCAAAGCATCTCTACCCAGTCTACGCACTTTTATCATTTCTGTATTTTATTGCAGGTGGTACGTGATCAGATCTCTCACTGCACAGTAAAGCTGCGCCAGACCACAGGGCTGATGGAATACTGTCTGGAGGTCATCAAAGAGAATGACCCCAGTGGATTCTTGCAGGTGACTGCTTGATTTTCTTTTTTCTTTCCAGTTAGGGAAGTATGGATTGGCTCTTCTCATGGTTTCACCCACTGTGAGCTGAGTAACATGTGGTGATGTTTCAAAAGGGCCCATTCCGTGATGTCACAACAATTTTCTAAGGAATAGAATGGAAACTAATCAGTCCATGATTGGAATTGTGCTGTGATCCTCTCATTCAAAATTTGTTGAGGCAAGAATATATGAAAGGAAGGAAGGCTATGTTATTCAGAGTCCTTTGATAAAATAGCTTTAATGCATCTCCCCAAACACTTAGATCCATTTCCCATTGAATCCAGTGGAAGTCATTACAATTCCATCCATATTTGCATCTCCCTGCCTGGATTATTTTTCTGTCTTACAAGAAGTTGGAATCAGGAACATAAATTCTTTAAATAAATACATTGAAAAGAGAAATAACAATGGAGTTGGCTTGAGAAAATAAGCTACTTAGTCTTTTTAGTATTTAAAACGTTCTGTCAAGAATTAGACAGAATTAAAGCTGTGTCCCTTTTTACAGGGGTCATGACAGAAAAGGAGCAGAGCTTCAACTGCATAATTAGTGCCAGCATTTTTATATTTCCTTGTTGGTGGATCACCCTGTTCTTTCCTCCTTGCAGTTTAGGCAAATGAGTAAAATCTCTCTATATAAATACTTTGGGAAGTGTTGCAGATCCATAGACTATCTTTGGATGATTTGATCAGTAATCGAGTTGTCAATTTTTCTGAGCTCCCAGAAATCACGAAAGATGCTGAGAGACTGATATTTCCAATCCCATTCATCAGCTCCCCCAAATCAAATGCACGCTTGCATGATGAGGGTGTGTATCAATCATTGTTTAGGTTTTTTTCCCCGTGTGACTGGTGTTAAGGGCGAAAAACAAAATGTCCACAGAGATGTTAATCTCAGTTTTGGACACAACGGGCAAGGAAAAGGTGGTTGACTGTAGGGAGTCCATTTACACTCCCATTCCCCCCAGCTCCAAAAAATTTATGGTTAAACTAAGATCCTTAGGGTTAATTAGCTATGCCATAGTCCTATTAAATGATTTTGTATATGTGAATGAAGATGTCATTCTACCACGTATACCACATCTACCACGTTATACCACATGTATACATGGTAGCTACTGATTGACTGACTGATTTCAAGCCAAGTCCTCCAGTAACTGTCTTAAAGCAACAGGCTCTTAAAGTTTTATCCCTTTTTTGTGAAATCAATATTTTCCCCAGTGAGTAAACATTATCCCAAAATATGTTGGAATTGTAATGAACTATATCTCCTTAGCAAGCATTGGGTTGTATAAACAGAGGCACAGAATCAAGATCACACGTAATATTAGTACCGCTTTAAAAAACCCTAGTAAGACCACACCTGGAATACTGCAACCAATTTTGGTCACCATACAACAACAAAAAATGTTGAGAATTTGGAAAAAGCTCAGAGAAGAGCAACTAAGATGATCAAAGGCCTGGAGACTAAAACATATGAAAAACAGTTGCAGGATTTGGGTTTGGCTAGTCTAGAGAAAAGAAGAAATAAGGGTGACATGGCAGCAGTATTCCAGTTTTTGAGGGGCTGCTACAAGGGGGAGGGGGTTAAATTATTCTCCAAAGCACCAGAGGGCAGGATAATAACAATGGTTGGAAACTGATCAAAGAGAGAAGCAACCTGGAATTAAGGAGAAATTTCCTAACAGTGAGGACAATTAACCAGTGGAACAGCTTGCCTTCAAACATTGTTGACAGTCACTAGACAGTCACTTGTCTGAAATGGTATAGGTTCTCTTGCTTGAGCAGGGGCCTGGACTAGAAGACCTCCAAGGTCCCTTCCAGCTCTATTCTATTCATATTTATTTATTTATTCCATTAATAGGGGTACCTAACTGAGAACTAATATTCTCATTTAGCCTTAGGTGCAACCAGGAACATACTGAGATTGAAAATGTGTTTTGTATTATCTATAGAGATTTATGATCCTCCCAAGCTGTTCTTCTCCCAGAGAGCTTTGTATAAATCTGACTATGGTGCATATTGATTCTTGGATTTTCCTTCTCAACAGATTTCTGATGCACTGATACGAAGAGTGCATTTGACTGAGGATCAGTGGGGGAAAGGGACACTCTCTCCAAGGATGACCACAGACTTCGACCTCAACCTTGATAGTGCCCCTTTGTTGCAGTCCATCCACCAACTCGACTTCATGCAAATGAAATGTAAATGTATTTATCTGTTTGCTTTCAAAGTTGCAATTGACTTAAAGTACTATCCAAAGCTATCTTAAGAATCCATGTAATTAAATATATATTAAAATACTGAAGGTTCTACAGCTGACAACAGCTCAGATTTAAATAGAGTGAAAGGGAGAATGAATTGTGTCCTACACACCATTCTTGGCCTCATCCCATCTGTCTAATCTGGATTCCAAATCCAATGTTTGCTTATCAGTATCTTTTATTCAGTTCTCAGAAAGAAATTAAGCTGGCCCCAGGCCACCAGGAACACAATGGCGGGTGTATGGCCAATAGATGTGATTTTATAACTATATTTATAAATGATAATTATATATAATTATAATTATATAAATTTTATACATATTATATACATGTAATATTACATAAATATTACATATTTATATCATATGTAATGGGTGAGATGGGTGGGGTTGCATCAGTCGTAATTCCTGGCAATTACACGGGCAAGTCGATGCAGTTTTCTGGGTAGAAGTTTTGGAAATTGTTTACCACTGCCTTTTTCCTAGAGTGAAAGTGACTGACTGAAGTTCATCAAGTTAGCTTCCATCCTTAAGGCAGGATTAGAACTCAGGTCTTCTTACTTCTAATGCAATGGCTTAACCACTAGCCTGGGGTAGGCAACCGTGGCTCTTTTATGACTCGTGTACTTCAACTCCCAGAATTCCTGAGCCAGCATGGCTGGCTCAGGAATTCTGGGAGTTGAAGTACACGAGTCATAAAAGAGCCACGGTTGCCTACCCCTGCACTAGGCCAAACAAATCCTGTAATATATGAATAGGGCTTATGTAACAGATATATCAAGTCCACAACAGCTAGATGTTTCTCCTTCTAGGACGTCTCAGCTGTTGATAGTCAAAATAAAATAACTGAGTCTAGCATTCCACAACTGAGACTTCCTGTTGCAAGGGGCAGAGCTGAGCCTGTGTGGGATTTTGGTTTTTACTCTTGCTTGAGATGATTTAAGCCAAACCTTTAGCTTACGTACCTTATTTCTTTGGAAAGCAATAAGAAATGTCATCATTATTTGGCATTTGCTCTCTTTAATGAATAAAAATACATAAATAATTTGGGGTACTGAATTTTAATGATAGAATTTTTTGAGACTAGAAAAAGGGGGTTGGGAACTTTTTTGACCCACAAGCTAAAAGCTGATTATGTTAAAAACATATCAAGATTTCCCCTTTATGACTGATCTTGGAATAACATAACAATGTTGTGGCAACATCGTTACAAGGAAATAGTCCCAGTCTTGCCTAACCTCAGGTTTCCTCTGGCAGCCTCCCTTCCAAATATTAACCAGGCCTGCCTGGAGTTTTTTTATCCGTTGAGAAATGATTAAGAATGATTGTGAAAGCTTGGAGTTTGCAGGCTTTAACAGGATGTGCTTGCTACTATATGTCTTATACTGTTGGACAGCTTTAGTTTAAACCAGGCTTTTCAACCAGTGGTACAGGTACCACTTGTGGTACATTGGCACTTAGCAGGTGGTACGCAACCATCCTAGAAAAGTGGTAGTGGGGGAGGGGAATGAGCTGAACCAGTGGCAGCACCGCACAAGTCTGAACGAGAGATGGCTGGAGCTGCAGGGCTGTCAGGGCTCAGTGGAAGCGCCAGGATTAGCGCCAGGCTCCAGCTGGAGCTCGCTGCTGATCCTGGTGCTTCTGCTGAGCCCTGAAGAAGTACCAATCAGCTGGAAAGAAGCACTGATCCTGGCACTTCTGCTGAGCCCAGAAGAGGCTCTGATCAGCTGGAATGTTGCAGCATCTCCAGGGTCTTGTGATTTACATTCAGATGCTTGGTAACTGATTCATATTTATGACGGTCACAGTGTCCCAGGGTCATGTGAAGTGACCAAAACCTGCTGCAACCACCCAGCAGACAGGGGGAATAAAAACCAAACACCACCACCCCACCCCCGCTGCCAATCCTCAACAGAAATGCTCACAACAATGAAAACCTTGGATAGAAGGAAGAGCACAGCTGGGCGGGCAGGCAGGTGTCTTGCTGGGCTGTGGCTTGGAGGGCACTTTTTTCAGTGCCATTGTAACTTCAAACAGTCACTAAGCAAACTGTTGTAAGTCGAGGACTACCTGTACTTTATCACTTTTTTCCTTTTGGGGGGGGTCATCAAGTTTTGACACCTTGCTAGGCAACTGGTGGTACTCGGATGTTGCCATATCCTAAAAGTGGTACAATGGGTGAAAAGGTTGAAAAGCCCTGGTGTAAACAACAGCTCAGAAATCTAGGAAGTGTCACGTTCATTAAAAACTATTTCATCTTTTTTTTTTTTTTTTATTGAAAATTTTTACATTTTACAAAAACAAATCCCCTTCCCATACCCCCCCCCTACCTCACCCCCCCCCCCTTCCCAACCTCCCAAACCCTCCCCTGGACTTCCCAGAGCTGAGTACAGGCTTAATTAAAAAAAAAAAAAACTTAAAACACTTTTAAAACCTAAACAAATTTAAATACAATCATCATTCTATATAAGCTCCCTCCAAAAACACAAATTTAAACATTACTTTCTTTGAATATCTATATCTATAATATAAAATCTAATTTCTCCCTCTTTCTTTATCCTAAAACGAAAAAATAAACATACAAATCTTTGTTATACCATTAAAGCTAAATACTCTTAAAGAACTTAAAGTAAGTACATATTTCCTTCAATCTTCATAATCTTCTCTCCTATCCAAAAAGAAGAAAAAAAAAAAAAAAAAACAAAAAACAAAAACTTAAAAAACCTATAAGTCCTAAACAATTCATCTTCTCAGGATACTGAATGCACATATTTTTCTGCCAAGCTTCTTTGCTACAGTGTTGATATACAAAGTTTTTACCCCTCTGAATTCATCTTTTTTTCTGACAGGGAGAGAGTAAATATATTACTGGGATTTCTTTATTTGCCAATTCATGTTTCTCCATCCATACCCTCAATCACATTCTTTCTTTAATCTGATTCTTCCTGTGCTGCCTTTGTACCAGGGCACAATGAACCACAACAGGCAGGGCTGCCAAGTAAAGAAATATTTGAAACTGTCTTCAAACATGCTTTGAATCAACAATCTAACAATTAAAAAAAACTTCCCTAAAAATTAGAAAATAAAAGAAGTAGGCTTTAGCTTGTTTTCTTAGAATCTACAAACAGGTTCCATGAACTTTTTGAGGCCATTAATTTCTAGATTTGCTCTCAGATTAAAACATTTTAGCTGGTCTTTGAGCTCAAATTCTTTAGCTCACAACTTGCTGGCTCATGGAAGTTAGCCTCTTTCTAAACTTCCAAGAGAGGCTTCAGAATGAGATTATTTCATGATGTAGCCTTGTTTAATATAGGCATTCCAAAAGAGGATCTATAGACAGAGTGTTGCAACAGCATAGTACATCTGTTGATGTTCTTCCGATAAAGTATTCTCATTGCATATCTTTGTTATTAAGTGAAATATTTTTGGATCTCTCCTCCAGAACCAAGCTAACTCTTGCAGAATCCAGAAGCCACAATTTGCATCTTGGCTGGAGGTAGAAGTCAGGGTTACACTAATTTCTGTTTAGCTTCCTCCCCAGTGCCAGCCCCCCCAATCCTTCAACTGGAAGAATGTTGTACCCATAACAACAGTGCCACATTGTCATGGAAGCAGCCACCTCTGTCCACAGTGCAGGTGGAAGGATACATCTTGGAACTGGATGATGGGAATGGTGGTCAATTCAGGGTAAGCATTTAATAAAGAAAAGTGAGGTGAGTGTGGAAAGGAATTTGGCTACTGATGAACAAACCTGATTGAACAGTGTTTGAGCTGAAGCTATGTTTTTCAAACATGGCAATTTTTAAGATGTGTAGACTTCAACTCCCAGAATTCCCCAGCCAGCATCTGGGATTAAGATTCATACATCTTAAAGTTGCCAAGTTTGAAAAACATTGAGCTAAAGACTTGTGGGTTCATAGCCTACGTTCACAACTGCTATGCTATGAAAAATATGTGTGCACTAAGAGCCATCATTTTTTAAGTTAATTCTAAACAGCTGTGGAACACATTTGTGATTAGCAAAAAATAGTCAGCATTCATGGGTATAACCATCTGTTACCAAGGTTGCATGGGAGGAAGACTTTGTCACTTAGGGATTCAAAATTGGTAAGGAAAATCTACATTATCTGCAACCCCAAATCCTTTAGGTGTGGCCTTCCAGAGCTCTTCCCAAAATTGCCAACAAATCATATTGTAAAATAATTTACTCTGTTTGGAGTATTTATATTACTTGTACTTTTGGATCCCCATCTATGTATGGGTTCCATCACTTTTTTGGCGTGTAGGCTCTGGCATCACATTCATACTCCAAGTGTCACCTTTGACCTGGAAAAACTAGCTCACCTGTGATGTAGAAATCTAATCCAGCCTTCTGCTCACAGAGAGATAGCAAGTTAGGGGAGGCTAATTATTTCCAAATTTAAGAATGGCATGTTGGAAAACATGAGAACTCCTGCTGCTATTTGGAAGAATTATTACCAGGCAGAGAAGTCAGAGCTTGACAAATTGGAAAAGAGGTCATCTGGCCCATTACAAGGCACCTTTGTCTCTTTGGTGTTTAGGAGGTTTACGTTGGGAAGGAGACAATGTGCACTGTGGATGGTCTGCACTTCAACAGCACCTACAGTGCTCGGGTAAAGGCTTTCAACAAGACAGGGGTCAGCCCCTACAGCAAGACATTGGTCCTGCAGACTTCAGAGGGTAAGTTCTGATTGGAAGGCTTTTCAACGGAAGAGAACATATGTAGCTCAGGGTTGACTGATCGAATCTTTGGTGCTCTCTGAGCTTGATTTTTTGCTTGCAAACATTTCATTACCCAATTAGGTAACATCATCAGGGGCTGGGGTTCTTGAAAGAGTTTTCTCATGGAGTATAACTTTTCTGTATGTGCATCTGAGGAAACAAGGATATATTGCCCACCTTAGCACTGCCTCTTTGAACCACATTTCTTATTCTATTTGCCAGGTTGGAGTCTCATTCTGCCCAACACCAAAATTAACAGAGAAAGAATTGGTCAAGGGGTACTTTTTTGCTCATTCTTAAGATAAATTGCAAAAGCACTTGGGGGAGGGGCACATGAATTGGATATGCCAAAATTCATAGAGTGTTTGTGTTTGTACAGGTGTTTGTTTTAATTCTTGGACTTCTCTTTAACTTCTCCCTGGCCTTTCTTATACCTTGGCAGCCTCTTGTGCCTTTGTTTCTACTTACGTAATAATAATTTGGTTAATTGTTTGGAATTTGAATTATGAAACTCCATCAGAAAACACAAACTATAATATAGAGCAGTCTTTCCTAAGCTGGTGTCCTCCATATGTGTTAAATTAGGATAAAATCTGTAGAAAAACCTGTTGCACAAAGATTTCTATTTCAAAATGTGAGCAAGTGTCAAACATAGAGCTTTTATAGGGGAAAAAAAGCAATGTGGGTTTCTTCTGGTCAATTTGAATGTTTTCTTGATATCTAGAAAAGAGAAGATGTATTGTGTAAGCCACCCAGAGTCTTCTGCATTGGGTGATTCTAACAGACCTAATAAATTAAATGAATATGTTAAATATAAAGTATTTTAAGAGGGAGATGCTGAAGTATTTCAGTGTTGTTGAAGCAAATTATCATCTTTTCCTTCCATTGTTTAGCCATACAGTCTCTTCCTATTTTATTACTTAGGAGACATTCCCAAATGTGAATTGTTAAAACATAAAATACTTTAAGGATTACTCTTTACTAAAACTAAACCTCATTTATATTTGTTCTAAATAATGTTTACAACTTTGAAACTATGTTGTCCTATTTTCTTCCAGAATAGGCTTAAACCTTATTCTATAAACCAGGTACAGCTTTTCCACATTATAAGATCCATTTCTCTTGCAGTCTGGTAGTTGCTTTCCTAAGGACAGAGGAATGGTGCATCAATTAAATGTCAACAATATATTTACCATATGCTCTATTATTAGTCCATTTTCTCAGTTACTGATAGCACTAATCTGTGGTTTTCGCTCCCCTATCCTGTTCTAGCTTGGTTATAAATTGATAGGTGGGAAAATCTGTTTTGAAATAGACAAGGTCAGCGGTTTAAAAACAGGTAAGATGAACCTGGTAATACCAGCTGTTTCAGGACCTCAGACAGCTCCATGGCATGCAGACATTGCTCCAGTAGTGCTGTTTGTGAACTAATACTGTAACTGCTACACTCCTTCTAGTAAAGTGGTGACTAATTTACAGAGGAGAGGATTGTGATGTGTAGGCATGAACAATAAATGATTGCCACTGTGGCCACTTGCCTTTAAGTCTAGGCTTTTGTAGTGATTCAAGCTCCTTATAGAAAACTTTATGATTTCCTGATAAGGTTTTTTTTCCTATCTAACCTGGGAAATTGAGAAGGGTATCAGACAAGAAATGTCAGCCTTCAGCTATCAATAAACTGAACATGTGGGAATTCCTGATAATGAAAGCTGAGCAGGAAAATAGAGAGTATCTATCACAAACCTGGATTTTTTTTTTATTCAATTGTTTCAAGTTCTTGGACACTAGTGACTGTTTCCTTCCTAGGGCTGAGAGAAAGTGACTAGCCCAAGATCACTCAGTTGGCTAGATGTTCATTGTGAGATGAGCTTACCATCTTCCAGTTTCTAGCCTGATGCCTTAACCATTACACCAAACTGGAAATTGTAACTCTGGGAAATTTTATGTGGACAATAGAAAGCATACTCATTTTGGTCAAGGAAAGTGGGATAACTGACAAGAAATTCAACCATTCGAGCAACATCTACCATCAGGGAGGCCATTTAGGTGTAACTAGAGAAGGCCAATCAAGTAAAGAACATCTTTTCCTGAATTGTAATTTATGAAATTTTCATGGACCAAAGACTCAGTAGAGTCTTTTCTTTTGGTATAGTGTTGTGTGAATCCAGCCATTTTAGCTTATTGAATGCACTATGCTTAAAGCAAACTATGGCTTGGTGAGAATCCAGACATTCAGCAATTGTGTGGAATTCTTCTCTATCTTTAATACGTTAGTTGCAATAACAAAAACTTCTTATAGTTCTTTTTGAAGAAAAGTGGGAAATGAGCATTGAACAACTTTTGGAGAAAAGAAATGGAAATTATACAACCTAGGCTTTTTTTAAAAAAAAAGGAATAGCAGGAACTGGAAAACCTACTAGAGATTTGTATGGAAAGTAGTGGAAAAAACCTCCCCATACTAGTTGACTTTGCTACCTCTTCTGCAACATTTTAATATAGATAGTCCTCTATTTATAACTATTTGTTTAGCTATCATCTGAAATTACATCAGCATTGGAAAAAGGACTTATGACTACTCATTGCACTTAGGACCACTGCAGCGTCCCATGGACATGTGACCAAATTTTGGGTGCTTGGCAATTGATATTTATTTATGATGGTGGCAGTGTGTCTGGTCATATGATCAACTTTTCTGATCTTCCCAGCCAGCTTCTCACACAAATCAATGGGGGAAGCTGGATTTGCTTAATGACATAACAATTGCAGTGATTTGCTTAACAATAATGGCAAAAGCCGTAAAATCAGTCATGACTCACTTAACAAGCACCTTGTTTAGCAACGGAAATTCTTGTTCCAATTGCAATCATAAGCTGAGGACTACTTGTACATCCAGGTTAATGGTGGGGTGGAGAGTTCTCCTTTTCTTCGTCTCTGCAGTTGCTCTGTAAGTACTCACTGGGGAGTCAACATTTCTTCTTCTTTTTGTTCTAGAATTGCAATCTTATTATTTAGAGCAGCAATCCCTCCTATCCCACTGCATTTACGCCAATGGTAGTTGTGGTAGCTTGTTGGAAGTATGTCTATGTAATGGCATACCATTTTTTTAACAGAGTTCTGACCTTGAGTTTGCCTTGATCTTACATTTAGACTCTGAACCTGAGGAGCAGGCCCTGACATTCCCAGTGCCTTTGGAAAGGCTGCCGCTGCGTAGATCAAGTCCTTTCTCTTCCACCCTTAACCTGCAAAACAGCTTTCCGGGGAGATCCTACTTTGAGCTAAGATCCTCGTCCCACCAAATGAGTTTGCACTCCTCTTTACAATCTCTGAATTCGGCCGGTGGGTGAGCCGAGCACGCTTAGCATTGCCTCATGAGCTACGCTTCTGGGCATTTTTTTTTTGTTCTGTTTCAGGGTGTGGTTCTTCTTTTGTTGCTGTTTTGCTTTCGCTTTCCTTTTTGGATATTTTTTTTGAGGGGTTCCCCTCTTCCTGCCCCCATCCTGCCCATGACATCCACATGAAATGGGACCAAGTGTTCTATGTTGTCGGTGGCCTGCTGCTTTCCAACTGTGGAGAAGACTGATGATGTAGATGTGTGACATGTTTTGTCTCTTTGTGACAAGGCTGTAGTACATTGAAATGCACTAGTGAGCAAGCAAGAAAACCCTCGCAGAACTAGTGAAATAACTGCTTCTATCAGGCTGGCTGTGAAGGAAGCATGGATCTCTAGTTCACCATTTGTCTTCCATAGATTAAAGAAACTCCATTTTGCCACCCCCTTTACCATACACACACACACACACACAAACAAACACACACACACACACATAAAACGCATGGAAATTAGTCAGGTGCAAATTACATTTAGAATATATATTGATTCCAAAATGTACATTAGATGACTGTGTTAGGCAAATTTGGAGGTTACCAAAAATGTTCCAGATTTCTATTTTGCAACCCCAGAGTTAGCTTAATAAATATTTTAACCTAATAGGGATTTTGGCATTTTTCTTATGGCTGATAATCTTTCCTTTTCTTACTGTGTGGCTTAAATATACTAATGGATTTTAAGATAGCATTGCGATAAGATGATACAGGATTTATCATTACTTAGTCATTCTCTTGATTTCTTGCACGATTCCTCCTACCATACCTAGGGTACCCATACATTTATTGTAAGTCACATGAATTGGACATAGATACTGAGTTGTTCCTATCTCCTTTTTTCTGTAGATATTGATAGGTCCTATCTATGGGACATGTTTGAGAAGGCTGCCATTGGGAAAACTTTAGAAGAGGGGCAAGACTTGTTAACTTGGCTTTGCTACTACAACCACCATAAGAATCTGGAGTAGAAGAAAGATGTGGCTTTTATGTTTCCTCTGTTCCCACATGCCATGCCCCCTCCCCAAGAAGTCAATGAGAACCATTTATGGTTACAGCTGAAGTGCTGTCTAGTGGTGGGCATTAGATTATCTGCACAGATCTGATTCTCAAATTATTTTTATGAGTTGAAGTTTCATGGGAGGATAATTTTGGTAGAATTGCATCTGCTGTGTCCAAATAACCTATCTTGATACATTCCCAAAACTACAAGTACAAATATTTTTTTAAGAACTATTTTTGGTGAAATGCTTGGAATATGCTTTTTCTCTCCCCTGTAAATGGTTGGGGTTGCTAATACAGTACTTTCAGAGGGACCAGCAGGTAAGATCCAATGAGATCAAGTGTGATCCACTTTTCATTGGTTAATTTCTGCTGAGTTTCATTGCATCCAAAATAGTATTATGCATTGGGATGCAAATACATATGTGTTATTACACATACAATTATTAAGCGTTCAGTTATATAGAAATCCATTCAACACTACTTTGAATCTATAAAATAATCTTAGAAATAAACACAATGTAAGCTTGGTAGGAAGAATTCACATTATGTTCTTACCAGGGGGAAAAAGAACTTCCTTTTTCTATTGCAATGGTTCCCCATAAGTAGTTCCCTAAAAGATATTACTGGCACTTTTTAAAATATGCCTGTTAAATGTAAACATGAATGAAATCAAAAGCATAGTTTGGTGATCAATATTCCCATTTTACATATGAGTAACTAATTTGATCAAGACACCCACTATGTTCAGGATAAAACCAGACTCTGACTTAGTGCTATGTCACAAAGCAATGATGGATTATTACAGAAACGTTTATTTACTTTATTTTTATTTATTTATCACATTTCTACATCACCCATCTCACCTAAGTGAATAGGTATAGTAATAAATGTGTAATAATAACTATGCTAAGCAATAATATAATGATAGAAATTGGAAGTTACGATTTACATTTAATGTGTTGTATGGAATCAGTCAATTGTGATTTTTCCAATTTCTTATGGCTTTGCAATTCATGGCAACAACCACAAAATGCTGGAGCAGAAATTTTTCCAAAATATGCCAGCTTCTCACTGGCCTTGGACAACATTCAATATAACAACACCTAATAACTCTGATTAAGACTTGATCAATTATAGGTGAGTGCCTGGGATGGAGAGCTTAGCTGTCTTTTAAATTTTCCATGTGACAAACTGGAGAACAGAGAGTGTTTGCATCAATGAACTTTCAGTCAGGCTATTTTTCAACATGATTTTAGTGTCCTTCAGGAAGGACATTAGATTTTGTTCAAAAAAAAATTAGTTGAATGGTCAGAAAGTATGAAAAGCATTTGAGGCACCTTCTTCCACTTCATCCAGTTATCCTCTGCCATATAGGTCTTGTCAATTTCACCCCAGTTCTTTTTACACGGGCCCTTTTATATAACAGATGTCAATTGCAAGATGTTGATAAAGTTGAGGTTGCTGTCACATACTTATCCCAAACTGGTAAATATTTCAAGGAGATATCAAGCCTGGCAGTGAATGGAGAGACATTCCCTGCAGATGGGCTCCAGCACGAGTCCGAAAGCTAGGAAGACAAAATGTCTGGTCCCAGTGACTGACCCAGATTGGATCCTGCAACATTATCCTGGGACACGTGCCAGTATATCCGCCTTCATTTGTGAATGGCCCTTGTTGACTGAACTTGGAAGAGTAATCAATTTACCATAGAACTAGGCCAAGGGTAGGCAACCTTGGCTCTTTTATGACTCGTGGACTTCAACTCCCAGCATTCCTGAGCCAGCCATGCCACAAGTCATAAAGGGCCAAGGTTGCCTACCCCTAAACTAGGCAAAGGACTGTAATAAAAAGAGACAAAGGTAGAGTCATGGAAAAACTCTTCTCAGCAGAGCTAGAAGAACATCTACAATGCGTTCATTGGGCCCAAACCAGCAGAAGGCAGCCCTCTTTTCCAGGCTTTTTATGCAATACAGATCTAACACTCTTCTTTTTAAAAACATACAGATCTTTCAAGCACTATTGTTCTTTGAACAGAGCAGAAACCCATGTATTCTGAAGTGTCAGCTGGACATTTTTTTTTTTTTTTAGAAAGATACCTCTGTTGAAGCTAGATGTCCAGGATCCTCTCCAGTCCAAATCAAAGTTGGCTATGAAAGGCAATGCCCAGCTTCTGGAGAAACCTAAAAGGGCCAATGAGGAATTCTTCAGGAATTGCTGTATATCATATCCACAGCAAAAAAAAATGTGTCTAGAAAGAGGGAAAACATGATTTTAAATTGGGAATGAGATGAAGGCAGCCTGATTAGAATATGCTCTTTAAAAATATATAGGAATCATATTGCAGTGCCAAACCCTGTCATTTTTTTTCAATCTTTAGCAAGAGGTTGCCCAAGTAGGAAAGCAATTCTAGATATTGGCTCTGTGCTTTTGTCTAAGACAAGCCATAAACTTCTGCTTCTTTCTGAGATGTGCAGCATTATTGGATTTTCCAGAGGTCTATAACCTTTTAAGCCAGCAGGCACATTTGGAATGTTCAGAATATATTGTAAAGTCTACAGCAGCTCTGGGGAAGTGGGGGGGGGGTGCTTTCAAAACTAAATGACTGTCACAATATGTGGGACCAGTCATAAAACAAGAAAGGGGGTAGGACAGGAAACCTGGTGGGCCCTAAGGGAAGAATGTGTGGACAAATTGGATTCACAGTCATACTATTGAGGTTCTCAAGAAGCCATCAGTTCTTAATGTATGTACCGAGACTTAAGCAAAATTGAGGTCCGTCTATAGTTATGATTAGCTCTGCACAATAGCCAGTGTCTTTTCTTTTCTTTTCTTTTCTTTTCTGGATTCTCCTGTATCACTAGCTTACCCCACTACCGGCATCTTCCTGACATTATCATAAATGAAGGAACATAGTTCTGACACATCTGTATATCTTCAAAGGAGGAACGATGTAGCATTTCAGTTGCTGGGCTACACCACGGGCCACCACCTGGCCTTTGTTCTCTTTGTTATACTGTTTCCCCATTGTGCTTTTATGGGTTTTGCATCCCATTGCCTTGGCTTTCAACATTTTCATACCTGAACGTTTTGATCTCTCGTCCAATGTACTAAGTGTTAATGACTCTTTCTGTTTTCCTGTATGTGGAATTTATATATTTTGCAGGAGTCTAATATTAATGTGGGCACAAAGTTTGGAGGGGATGGGGTAGGAGGGCCTCATTCCCAAATTGAAAATGTGTGTTTCTGTTTGTACTATTTATGGACAAAATGTACTGTATAATATATGAGTTTTCAATTTTCCAAGCTGGTAAAAGTTCATAATCATTTAAAAGGCCTTATGGGATCCTTCTAAAGAGGGCTGTGTGCATTTTCCATATTCATGTGCAAAATTCTACAGCCACATCTCTAATCACACGTTTATGCAAACTAAATTATGCATACAATTGCTTAAGTTATTGTACATTATTGTTTCCAAGTCTCGATGCTTGGAGAAAAAAAGTACCGAAGAGTGATAGAGAAAAAGGTGGAACTCTTCCTAACTTTAATTGGAAAAGAAAATTAATGGGGGGAGGGTGAGGAAGAGGAGGAAATAAAAGCAGAAATTTCCAATACAGGTATTATTGAACTCCAGTCTGTATTAAGAACATCTAACTCTGCAGCTCATTCCATCAGTTCAGCATCTCATTCCATCCTAGGGACATACCAGATGCTTTGGGGAAACCTTACAAGCAAGGCTTCAGCCATTTGGTGTTCTCATTCTCTAGTAGTTGATACTCTGAGGTACACTGCACATTGAATGTGGAAATGTCATTTTACATGGCTAAGACTTTCCACTGATCCATTCCTTCTTCACTGAACTAATGAAGCACAATGTGAAGACCAATTGTCTCGGTTTTGCTCTGACTCTGCTGCTACTTACTTCCAAAGGCCAACTGGGAATTCTGGATGTCCTGGTTCATGTGCAGATACCTCTGTTTTTACATCAGGTCTTCAGCCTTTGGAGTAAATCTGGCAGTTTGCTTGTACAGCAAGTCCCTGGGTTAAGGACAGACTTATAGTTAAGAATGGCGTCTATTGTAGAAAAATTAGAGTTAAATACCCAATAATGCAAGTTAAATATACACAGTGGTTAAAGTTCATTATTTACACAGTATTAAAAATAATGCTGTTCTGGCTTATATACACATCCGACTTAAGGACAGGCCTTGGGAATGGAACCCGTTCTTAAACTGGGGCTAGCTGATAAACGCAAGCACCCACTGTTGCCTGCGTCTGGTTGCAATTTCTTGGTGTCAGTGTGTGAAATGTAGTATCTCTTTATAGGTTTTGAGGCTCAGTCAGGACCTTTCTCCCAATTAGGCAAGTATATTTGTTCCACTTCAGTGATGTGGCCTTTATTCTGGTCTGTTGTTTCTCCAGCTTTCTTGTTTGTACAAAGATCTCCATTCAGTCTAAGACAATGTCTGTTCTGCTGTAATGTGTGACCGTTCTGAGACAAGGGTGTTACTGCAGAATATTCCATGGAGGGGATTTCAAAGTGAGAAAGACTCGGAAGATCACAAGGGTTAGTTTGTTGAAGAGAGAGTAGGCATTAGGCTCCAATGGATACACAACTTCGTTAATACTCTCCCTCATTCATGCATGCTTCCTACATACATTCTATGCACATTCCTATACTCTCCTATAATCTATATAAATAAAAATGTAAATGTTTGTTTGTTCAAAATCTTAAATCTCTGAAAGTTCTTCACTGATTGCTTTGAAATTTTGACACAAGGTTGCATTCGAATACGTGCGTGTTTTTATATACCTATATTATATAGATGTCACACCTGTGACAGGTAAAAACATGCTTTTTACAGCTTTTTACAGATTACGTCCAACAGTGCCATCTGTTGGACGTAATCTCTATATCTGCACCCAATGGAACAACAAAAAATATTGTATACCCACAAGCATTGTGAAATTAAACATATTACAAGCATGCGCTTTCTCTTTTCTTTCTTTTCCATTTAACCACACTGAGCCACAGCAATGCGTGGCTGGGTACAGCTAATATACTAATAAGTTCCTGAATCCCCCTTTGGTGTCAGAGCCTCTCAGGAAGACAGGATTTAGATCCCTACAGATTTGAGGCTTTTCTACTGATTAGGTTATCTAAGTGAGATATTCAAAATAGTAGCTCAGAGTGGAAAGCACCAATCCAAACACACAGGTAGAGGGAAATGTATGGCACAAGGGCTGTGGAATTCTACAGTGAAAAGCCAACACAATTAGCAAAAAAATGGGCTTCCAAAGCAAGCGTAGGCAGGGCATTCCAAGTCTATGAGATGCAATCTGTGAAATGCATCTGTTTCATATTTAGTCTGCAGATTGGAAGTTTATGTAGGGCTGGGGAAAAGTTGTGATCAGCTGTAACACCAAGAAAAAGTAACATCACAAGCCTCAAGAAGCCAATGGCTTGCCATCAAGATTTAATAGCTCAAGGTTCCTTTCCAACACCTGACCCCATTTTTAGCCAATGAACATGGCTACAAATGGTGGACTTTTACCCCATATTGCAGGGGTGTCAAACTCGCAGCGTCACATGATGTGTCGCAACGTATTGCGACTTTTTCCCCATTGCCGGCAATGGAGTGGGCATGGTTTTGGCATGACACATCTGGCCTGTGGGCTGGTAGTTTGACACCCCTGCCCTATTGACTCAAAAGCTGTCCAGAAAGAATGACTGATTGAGTTATTAAACCAGGTTCCATGAACTTGGATTCAGCTATTGCAATATAGAAGATGAGGGCTGAATATTCTTTTTACTGAATCATATGGAAACTGAGGAATGTTCAGTTCCCATTTGGTTCTGAAAGAGTTTTTGGAAAAGCAGGTGATCCAAACCAAAAAAAAAATCCATTCTGATTTAAGTTGATTTGCTCATACCTTCCCCTTCCCATCTGTACAGCTATGTGGTCCTTTTGTATATTACATAGGGTTTTTGTTATCACCCAACTGATGGAACAGCTCTGGAAGCAGAGCTAAGTAAGAGAGAAATGATGCAGTTAATCTCCATGTGTGAATATAGTAAAGATCATAATTGGAAGTTTTGATCTGTGTATAATTGCCAGTTTTACTTATTGTTTATTCTCCTTCATGCATTCCACTTGGAATGACAACAGTTGATATTAAAAAAATGGTAGCAGGTATGAGCTCTCTTTGGTGCATGGGGAACATGTGTATGTACGTGGGTATATAAACAAACTGCATTGATTGGCATTGAGTGGATATGTGTGTGTTTATCCTATATGTTTGTGGCATGACACCAAAAATTATGTTCCTCTTGTGTTGTAGACAAGGTGGTGTCTTTTCAAGTATGCAGGTGGAATATGCTAGGTAGCTATATAAAAGTTCCATAGCGTCAGGAAGGCAGTTATAAGGAGGAAAGTTGATCAGGTGTGTTAAGACCTCTCTTAAGATTTCTCCTTTGTATTTCACTCTGATAACTGCCTTCCTCTGCCCTCTCATTTTGCAATATATATCTCCAGTTCTGGCCCACTGACTGACATGCACAAAGTAAATATACAGTAGCTGCAAATAAGAAAGTTATATGAGATGATTCTATATTGTTTGACGGGACATAGAAATTACTTTAGGGTATAGCTTTTTCTTTTCTGACATTTGCTTGGCTCATCACCATCTGACGTCTTGCCAGGTTTAAAATATTGATTGTCTTTCCTGGTGCCACTTAAAAAAGGCCTTTAAAATTTCAGAATAGAAAAACAGTCAATATTTTTGCAAAGACTCGACCCAAGTAAAATGGTGTTGTTTTTGTGCTTTTGTTCATTTTCTCACAAAATGCATGAAAGACTTATTTATGAATTTACAAAGCCTGATTTAATTTGGTTATCTGCAATATAGTATATCCACGTGTTTGTGACCCCCTCTAAAACCATTAGCTGAATATTAGGCTAAATCTCCAGTTTAATAGTGGGACCAATGTTAGAGAGGATGTGTTTGGGATGCATTTTAATCTAGATTCCTACACTGAGCAAGGGGCTGAATGCAATGGTCTAAATGGCCCCTTCCAACTCTAAAATCCATAGATAGAATCCTACCAGGTTGATTATTATGCATGTTAGCTCCAGGAGTGCTAGTTTTCTGCTGCTATGTAATATCCTTCACATGGTGAATGGTATAATATGTGGCCACATTCTTGGTATTCCATTTCATTTCAGCTCTTCCATTCACTAAGCGTTAGGCTTTTTAGCAGAACTTTCTCCAAACAGACTACTGTTTCTCAGCCGCAACAATTTTAAGATGCGTGGACTTCAACTCCTAGAATTCTGGGAGTTGAAGTCTGCACATCTTAAAGTTTCCAAGGTTGAAAAACATCAGAATACATATTTTCCAACCTTCTTGCTTTTTAAGCCGACCCAGTTTGCCTCTGTGTCCCACATTTTGGATTTACTGCAGAAACACTCATCAAAACCCTCTTGAGGAGTCTTTACTGGATACAGACTCAACTTCTTCCTCTTGCATGGCAGCATGCAATGCTTTTGGTGACAACTGTGTGTCTCTGCCTACCATCATATTCACACTGATAACTGTTCCATGCTTGTGTGCATTGCAGTGGCTTGGTTTTCGTTTGACCCCAGCACTGCTCACTCCGACATCATCTTCTCAAATGACAACCTGACAGTTACCTGCAACAGTTATGATGACAGGGTCGTGTTGGGCAAAACTGGCTTCTCCAAGGGGCTCCACTACTGGGAGTTATCCATCGATCGCTATGACAACCACCCAGATCCAGCTTTTGGAGTTGCCCGAATGGATGTTCTCAAAGATGTCATGCTAGGGAAAGATGACAAGGCTTGGGCCATGTATGTGGATAATAACCGAAGCTGGTTCATGCATAACAACTCACATACCAACAGGTACTTGCCTCCAAATTGGTTCTGTTGTTCTTGTTTTGTGCACTTGGAATCTTTTTAATTAAATATCTGGGGATGAGGGACTAAACTGTCCTCCTAAAAAGCATGCAACATTGTATTATTGAGCAGGAGAGTCCATCACATGCTAGACCAAATTGTTCTAACCAGACTGAAGTCAACAGCTTTAGTGAATCAGAAGGAACTCTGTTCCCCAATCCACTTGCCCCTCCTGAATTGGGACATTCAAATTGGCATTTATAACATCACCATTTGCTATCTATAGTGAAAATGTTTCAGATCGTTAGAGAGTGTGCAAGAAGTTCCCCATCCTGAGGTAGAGGACAGAAAGGAAAGTAGTTTCCAGTTCCAGGATTTTAAAGGGGAGCCAGGCTGGCAGATCCAGGATACATTCCATGTAAAAGGACATTGATCTGACTTCCAAACCTTGGTGGTGAAGTCTAAGGTATGCTCAGCCTGTTTTTATTTTCTTGAGCCAAAACTCCACTTGCAATAAAAATGCAACAAAGCTTATCCAACAGATAAGAGGCAATCTTTAAACAAAATTTTAGGCACTTAGCCCAGCAAAAGCTTGCTGGAATAAAATGGTCTTTCCTCATCTGATGAAAGATAGCTAGACTGGGGACAACCTAAACTCTATGAGATAACTAAGAATGTTTTAACTTTTTTCCCACCCTTTTCCATATTTCTACCTTGGTTGGTAGATTGTCCCAGATGATTTCGTAAATGGGTATATGGATCTTAAATATAATTTCCAGCCAGAATGATCTTCAGCTGATTTAGGACTTTAAATGTAATCACTAAAATTCTGAATTCAGCCTGAAGCAATGCATAATATATCCCAACTAACATTTTACATTCTGGATCAAGAATCTGGACCAAAAAGAACCAAAAGACTCTTCAAAAACAGGCCCAGTTGGAGGACATTGTAGATATACAATTTTGATGTAACTAAGGCATATATTACCACAATCAATTCTAACTTGCTCAGGTACAATAGCCACTGTTTAGAAGTTCAAGCCAGTGCTGAATCCTGTTCCAGATCCTTCAGTGTAGTCATTAGACCAAAAACACTGGATTGTCTATTGGGCATCTAAGTAGATGGCATGTCTCTTTGTGGAGAATGTATGTGTTCCTCTGCAAGTGGAACACATACGTTCTCCACAAAAAGCCATACCATCTATAAGACCAACTTGGATGTGCTTGCAGGATGATCCCTCAAATGTCAACATGCAATAGTGGTCAAGAACATTGAACTAGGATGGGGAAAGTGGTTTATATCTTAATTGGACCATAAATCTCACTGAAAAACTAGAGGCAATCATTATCTCTAAGTCTGACGTATCTATCAGAACTGTTGTGAAAACTAAATATACGGGTACCCATCTAACGTACCTTTAAGTAGTGAAGATGAGTAGTGTAAATTAAATAGATGCTAACTGGCATTTCTTTTCAAAAGGACTGAAGGAGGTATCACCAAAGGTGCCACTGTAGGCATATTGCTTGATTTGACCAGGAGGACCTTGACTTTCTCCATCAATGAAGATCAGCAAGGACCAGTGGCCTTTGAGAATCTGGAGGGTATATTCTTTCCTGCTGTCAGTCTCAACCGGAATGTGCAAGTAAGGATGGGCTGGGATCTGGCTGGTTGAGAAATGCCAGTTGGAAGTTGTGTCTTGACGTGTGAAGTGGCAATGGGGATAGAAAGCTGTACAGAATGACAGGAGTAAAATGCAGGGCTGAGGTAGATGACAAGGTATGCAAGAATGAATACTGTAGTGTCAGTTTATTATGAACAGTGCTACGAAGCTGCATCTAGCTGATATTCTCCCACAATATCTATTTATTATAAGCCACCTAATATCACGTAAAAGTGAGATAAGAGGCTATATACATTGAACATTTCAATTAATACTTATTTGACAGGCACTATGTTAGGGGCAATTTAGAAAACTAAATGGATGTAACATTTGTCTGTCTAGTGGCCAAAGGATTAAACTGAAACTAGAAAAGAACATGTATAGTTCAGGACTGAACCATGGGTTCTTGGTGCTCCTTGAGGCTGCTAATATTTGCTTGCCAACATTTCATTACCCAACTTGGGGAAATGTTGGCAGGCAAATAACCAAGTTCAGAAAACACCAAGAAACCTAAATATTGAAAATTAGAAGACAAATTTCAATTGTGGGACTTACTGAAGCGAAGTTGAACTCTCAGACTATGTGATCTGATACTCAGAATCCATTTTTCTATCAGTTAGGGTTATGGCAAAAAATGTTCTAAATTAAAAAAAAACATTAGTAAAAAGGAAAAAATTCACCTTAACTTTGCTTTTTGACGGTCATCATTTGTTTTGCAGCAAAGGGTAATTGTATGTGGGAATGTCCTCAAAAGACAGGAAGAAGAGCCACAGGCCTAGACAAGGGGTCTCATAAATCAAATCTGAGTCCAAAAGATGACCGGTGACAAAAGAGTCTTAAAAAGGATCCTCCCTTGTTCTCATGGAAGTAAATGTGGGAGGGACAGAGATATACTTTCAAACTTGCAAGATTCTGTTAATGTAACCTTACAATAAAATTACTCCTGGTTGTGCTTCTTGTTTGGATTACTTCACAAGGATAACATTAATCTTGCCAGTCTGAAAGTATCTCTCCTGTCCCTCATTTTTCTCTCCTGAAAACTAGAGAGGGTCCCTTCTGAGATACTTTTGCCACTTCTCCTCCTTTGATCTAAAGTTTTATCAGGCCACTGTCTTGGCTGCACATGTTCCTCCTGTCTCCCAAGGTCAGTCCCACAGATCATCACATAAAAACATTGACCAACCCTGAACAGGAAGCCATTGATTTTTCCCACACTGCTCTCAGTAGCCATTAAATTTTGTAGATTATTAAACTTCAGTGGAACATTCTGGGGATGGGAAGGAGGGATGGGGAAATTAATCTCCCAATAGATATCTGGAATTATTATCCTTCTAAATTCTTCTCAGAACAATGCTTTTGCAAATCTCCCACCCAAATTCAACTCAAAACAGTCTTCCGTAATAATTAAGGTCAGGAAGCTTGGAGGAGTGGGGCATAAGAAAGCAGAGAGCTCCATGCTGCAAATGGTAAATTTATTCTGAACCAAAATAGTATCCACCCCTACAAATTCCAACTCGTTAGCCATTTTATTTCCTAGGGCACCATTCAGCTTAAGACTACTTTTTGCTTTTTCTGTGGAATTAAAAAATTCTCTACAGTTGTAACTATGCATAATCCAGTAAAGGGCTCACTTAAAAAATATGGTCTTGATCTAGCGAAAGTGGGGCAGAGTAAGAAAAATTTAAACACTAGTTTAGCTGGCTCCTTCAAAAACCTAGGGGAGTTAAAGTGTCTTAGTTGTTTACATTTTGATGTACAATTTAATATCTTCCCATTTAACTATTATTTTTGTACGAAATTATTATCAATTTGTTGTATATTTGTGAGAATGTTTGTTTTTATGGATTTGTACACTGAGGGTTGGTTCTGCGAGCATGAAAAAGCAAATTCTAGCTAATTAAAAGTTGTTTTAAAATGCTATCCAGGTTGCACACTCTCCAACTGTCCTTGGTTTCAGGTAACACTTCACACTGGCCTGCCGGTCCCAGACTTCTACAATGCACGGGGATCCCTGCAGTAGAGAAGCCCCATGCCTTTTTCTCAGGACACAACAAGAGGGCTGCACTGACCTTCTTCAAGAATTGACCTCACAGGAGCAAGAAGGAGAATATCTGGTCATCTGGCAATTCCAGAGCAGCAAAAAAAACAGTTTTTTAAAAAAGCAAAGGGGCAGAAACTAAAGAAAATAAAGGACAAACCAGACTTTGCACCTCGACATGGTGTAGCAATTGACCCCTCCCCCTAGTTTCTCTAACCCCACATGCTGTGCGTGAGTTAGCTTTGCTATTTTTGCTTTTTGGTTGATCACAAAATTCCTGGACAATCTGAGGTGTAACTCTTTTTCCCAGTTTGGTTTCATTCCTTGCCCGGGTTTTTCCTTTTCTTGAATGCGAATCAGGTGTCATGACATAGCAGATGTGGTTGAGCCACTTTGACCCCCAGAGAAGGGATGGTTGTATTCATATTGCTGTGGATTAAGTTCAAAAATGGCATGCCAAACATTTATAAGACTTGATGGCTTGCAAGAATTGCTTTCTTTGAGTCCAACTAACTTTATTTCCACCTTCTCCTCCTTTGCAGCCTTTCTCAATGAAGAATATCATCAAAAAGTATTAGACTTGGATTGCCATGTAGTTGGTGTTGTAGGGACAAATAATAAAAAACATACCATAATGGAACCTCCAGCCTTGTCATATTTGCATGTGATGTTGCAATGCAGGTATGAAAGGGTGGAGCTTATATTGTGACACCACAGCACATGTCTTGTTTTGGCATCTTCCTGGTTACTGGAAGTTATGGAAGTCTATGAATGTCTCCAAATATCATCATGAAATCCTTCTGAGACAATTGCATAAGCAGATGCCATCAAACATAGTGGTCATGGGATCCCAGAATTAAATAAGAATTTGGTTTTTAAAAATGGCCCAAACCTCACAAGATTGCCAAATCTCATGAGACTCATTTGGAGCAGGAATGCCCAAATGTATTACATTTTTATTGGCTTCTT